GAGTGATTTAAAATCGGTGTGTGTTGGTAGAGTGGGGTGGGGTGTATATAAATTAATTTTTAGTTTTATAATATTAATTAATAATCCTATTTACCACTTGATTTTTGAATTGTAAAACTTTATCCCCTTAATTTTGAATTGTAATCTTGAAAAGAAGGGTTTTAGGTAATTTTCTCTAAACATAAAGTCTCTATTTTTCTTGAACAAAGTCATGTTCTCACTTCTCATTAAAGTAACGGTAACAAACGTACGATCTTTTGTAGTTTTTCTGCTCATTTCTAATAGAATCATATTATTAATTCTAGGAAGAATACAAGATCTATGTAACCCAATTTTTTAGTGATTTGTTGATGAGTAATGTTATTCATCCCCAGTGGGGATGAAAACATAGTTTAGGTGGTTTTAAATGATATGTTAAATGAAAGGTGAAATTAAATGACTTATTTAATTTCACCTATAATTTAATGTCACATTAACGTCATGTAGACTGTGTTTTCATCTCCAGTGGGGATGAATAAAACATGAAATGTGTCCAATTTTCTTCATTTCTTCGGTTGGAGAGCTGAAAAATTAGGTGGAAACGCCTCCAAAAGGTACCACCAATAGAAAATCAGTGTTGAGATTTTGTATTAACTAGAAGGGTTGGGTCCAAAATTCAACTGGGTGGTGGGTTGCAGGTGAGGGGACTAGCAAAAAAAAAATCAGTAAATATAGCAGAAGAAGCTCAGGGGCCACTGGTAGGGTCTCTCTTTAGATTACATACCATAAAGTTTGGCTGTCTTCAAGAATTGCCAGCACCCACCCAATTGTTTAACATAATTATGCCTCTGCGAATTAATTTTTTATTTATTTTTATTTAAGTGGGTTGGGTGGCCGAAAGCTCCTGAGTTGGGTCCGCCCTTGGTTCTATCAAGTGTTTGTCGAGTAAATTTTTGTACATGAACAACTATTTTGCCGAGAATAAACGTCAACATTTTGTGGACAAAATCTAACATCGACATTAACATATGAAAATTAATTTAATAACTGATATTCATAATATAAATTGAATAGAGATTATTTTCCACATACATTAATTTCAGGCCCAGTCATGTCTTTTCTTCAAATCAGAGGGAGAAGGAGGGTTTCTTTTGGAAAAATAAAACCCATCTGCTTTTACAAGCCAATAGCACTGATTATGATCGCGTTTAGGATCACCTATTTCACAATCTGTTGGGTTTTTAAAAACATCAAAAGCAAGTTGCTTAGAGCCCCACCAGAAGTGACAGAAGAACAAAGTTTCACCAAAAAGTCCTTCAAAGAAATGCCAATGAAAATCTTCATTTATACGTAAAATACGTGTACCCAACTCATCATTTTTAGAAGCACAATGAACCCGTAAGGGGCTGGGACTATCTGGGAGCCCATTCACAACATGGACATCATATCCATTAGTTAAGTGAAGAGGACAACACTTTATAGCACACAGTTCTTGAGCAAGGTGAAAGAACACAATAAGTAAAAAGAAAATGGCCTTCATTTTGAGGGAATCCAGAAATAGTTTATGGTACTGCTTCTGATTGCTTATGTTCGCCTATTAATATAAAAGCTTTGTTGCAAAATCACTAATATAATCTTAATTTGATTGTCTAAATATTACGATAATCTTGTATTGTAATAGATAAAAAATAGTGGGTCCAATCTTGTTAGTCTAAGGATTGTTCGGGAAGAAAATTAACATCATGCATGAATCTGAAATATCATTTGTATATTTGACCATTTGTCTTTTTACTATTTGTGTAACGGCCCAATTTTTTTTAATATTTAAATCGTTATTGAAAGTTTGGTTCTGTAATTAAAATAAACGTATCAAACATCACAACGTGATTTTTTTAGCTTCCACCAATATTAAATAAAACATAACCAATGAAATATGTTCCAAATTCTACAGAACAAAATTTACATGATAATAAAACTAAATTAATGCTGAAAATAAAATTCATAGTCACGTTACATCAGATTATTTTTATTGAGTTCTATAAATCCTGGTACCACGACTGCACCTCATTGTCGGCCAGCCAACGACCTGCTCTAACCTGTGAGGAATATGAGAAAATGGTGAGTATATGAGAATACTCAATAGGACACGAATTAATGGTGCAATCCCGAATAAGAGATTTAAAACACGTGTCAAAATATCATACTGTCATCATATCTTTTAAATCGATAAGAGCTCAATATATATCATATCTTTAGTACTGGATGACCATATCATACATATAATATCATATCTTTAACTTTTATAAGTATGAAAATTCATCAACATGAATAAATAATTTAAACGGGATAAAAATTAACTGCACCTCGTTATCCTACCTCGTTAGATCAAATAAATTTGAAAAGCAAAACCAAAATCACGTTCCAAATCTTTATCTTCTACTTGTGGTGTTGTTGCCGCTGTATCACGTATTTATGTTTTCTTTCTTTCTTTTTCTTTCTTATCTTTTTTTTTAGGGTAGATAATGAGTATTTTACATGGTACTTAAAGTTCAGAAGGAAAATTGAGTTTTGTTAGGCCTAAAAATTTACAAAATACCATTTTTTATATATACACAATCCTTATTTACGATGTGTTTGAGCCACATTATTTTGAAAGAATATATTTTGGAATAGCAGATTGATGGAGAATATTTGGTTGAAAAAAAAGAAAATTATTAATGTGATGGAAAATATTATTTTATTGAAGAATGTGTAGTTGAAAATGAGAATGAAAATTTTTATGTGCCTCAAACATGGGCTTAATAAAAACAATTAATAACTTACCATCAAACTTG